AATAGTAGCAATGTTAGGGTAGAGAAAAGATAAAATTTTTCAATCTATATATTATACAAGAAAGACCTTGATTGAAACTTAGATGCATTACACCACCATCGAGAAAGAAATATTAGTTGTTGTATATGCATTTGATAAATTTAGTTCATACTTGATTGGCACTAAAGTTATTGTTTATTCTAACCACTCTGCAAATAAGTATTTGATTGTTAAGAAAGATGCCAAGCCAAGGCTAATAAGATGGATTCTTTTGCTTCAAGAATTTGATTTGGAAATCAAGGGTGTAAAAGCTTTAAAAAATCAAGTAGCAGACCATTTGTCAAGCTTAGAGCATGACAACCAAGGTAAGGACTTAACTTTGATCAAAGAAACATTCCCTAACGAACAATTATTCCATGTTGGTTAAAAGAATTTACCATGGTATGCTGATTATGCCAATTTCATTGTGAGTAAACTTCTCCCTCAAAATTTAACTTCTCAACAAAGAAAAAAATTTCTACATGATGTTAAATTATATATGTGGGATGAACCATTTTTGTTTAAGTAATGTGTTGACAGAATGATAAAAAGGAACATTCTAGAGGAGGATGTTGAAAATGCGTTGAGACATTATCCCTCGTTAGAATATTAGGGCCATTCTAGAGGGGATAAAATAGCAGCCAAAGTGCTTCAATCAAGTTTGTATTGGCCAACACTATTCAAGGATGCTCATAACATTGTTTTGCATTGTGATAGATGGCAAAGAGTGGGGAATATTTCCAGAAGACTTGAAATGCCACTTAAAAACATTTTGGAAGTGGAAACTTTTTATGTTTGGGGAATTGATTTCATGGGACCATTCAAATCCTCATTCAACAATTTATACATAGTGGTAGTTGTTGGCTATGTGTTGAAGTGGGCTAAAGCCTCAACTTTGCCTACAAATGATGCTAAGGTGGTGATGAAATTTCTAAAGAGGAGTATCTTCATTAGATTTGGTACGCCAAAAGCTATTGTGAGTGATAAAGGGAGTCACTTTTCTAATAAATATTTTACAACATTACTCACTAAGTATGGAGTGACACACAACGTAGCTACAGCCTATCACCCTTATATAAGTGGACAAGTTAAAGTGTCAAACTAGGAAATCAAGAGAATTTTAAAGAAAGTGGTATCCCTATCAAGGAAAGATTAGTCCAGTAGACTTGATGATGCATAATTGCCATATAGGACTGCTTATAAAACTCTAATAGGTATGTCCCCATATTGATAGGTACTTGGAAAAGTGTGTCACTTTTCAATTGAATTGGATCATAGTGCCATTTTGGGCCATCAAGAAATTAAATTTTGATTTAAAGGTAGTGGGTGGGAAGCTTTTGCTTCAATTAAATGAAATGGATGAAATTTGCTTGGATGCTTTTGAAAATGCCAAATTAGACAAGGGAAATAGGAAGTGATGGCATGATTAAAAGCTTCTCGAGCATTATTTTGAGCCAGGTCAGCATGTGTTGTTGTTTAATTCCTTATTAAATGTATTTCTGGCAAGTTGAAAGCAAGATGGTTGAGTTTATTGTATCAAAGGTATTTCCACATGGAGTTGTGGAAATAGTTAATGGGTCGACAAATGAGATATTTAAGGTGAATGGACAATGATTGAAGCATTATTGGGGAGTGAAATTGATCATCAATGATCCTTCATCCATGTTTCTGACCCCAAATAAGCCTCAAGAAAGTCTAGCTATCGACTATCAAAGAAGTATTTCTTGGAAGTAACCCAAGTTCCTAAACATTGTGTACTTTTGTTTTTAGTTTCTTTCATGTTAATTGCATTTTTTGCCTATTAATTGATATTCTCTCATATTCTAATGGTTTTTGTGTTTTATTTGTAGGTATAATGAGTTGAAAAATAAATGATGCCGCAATGCTACCATGATGCTCCTTTTCATGCAAAAACTTGAGAAGAGGTCATCGAGGCATTAAAGAAGTAGCACCATGGCATTGCATAAAGACCCAACTAATACAATGGGTCGAGGCTAGAGCATCATGGTGCCTAGAAAGTAGCACTGCAGCGTCGTGTCATGGCTTCTAAATTTAAAAACCCCCATTCTTTCATATTTTTTTTCCATTTTCTCTCACATTCTAGGTTCTCTGTCTTTCTACCTCCATAATTTCTCTCTCTACCATTAACCCATTCCATAAACACTTCCAAAAATAAAGATTTTTGAACCAAATCACTCTTTTGTTGGAAGTAAGGTTTCTTCATCACATTATCCTTCAACTTTTTTGCATCAAAATTCAAGAAAGTTGAATTATTTTGAAGAGTTTTCATATATGCTAAATTTAACCATTATTGAGGAATTATAGTGTTGTTTCATGGGTGGATGCTTATATGAAGATTGGAATAGATGTGCTGGATTTTAATTACTTCCATATTGATTAATGGTGAAATTCGCTATTGCTTTTGCATTTTACATTGAACTTATGGGTAGTAGAGTATTTGTGCAATAGTGGTTTTAATGCCTATTTGTTACTTTAATTGGGAAATGGTTGTTTATTTTGAGCCCTTTGACAATATATTAGTGATTGAGTGATGGTGCCTAAGAAAAGAACTAAAGGTTAGCAAGGGACTTGATTTGATAGAAGCAAATTTGTGTTTGTTGATGTGGCTAAAGGACATACTCAATCATTGATGCATAAAGTCCCTATTTCAAAAAGTGGCATTGACCTCCGTCTCGAGCTTTATGGTTTTGTTCATAAGGTCATCATTGAGCGTTAATTGGAGAAATTTTGTGAACAACTTAAGGTGGCCATATTAAAGTATTGTTCAAGCATTTTATGCCAATTCTCTGGAGCACATGAATAGACTAGGTTTTGTTCGAAGATTGATAACTCTATTATATAGAGTTATTTTGACTCATTTTGGGAGCTTAAGTAGCTAGATCTTTGAGATTTATGTTCGAATTTTAGCATTAGAGGTGTTTTTTTTAGTTTAAGTTTGATTATTTGTTAAGTGATTAATTTAAGTTATTTTAGTTAAATTTTAGGTTATTTTATTTTAAATTACTTTAAGAGTAGTTATTGCTAATTTCTCCTATGGCTTTTGTAGGAAATTGATGAAAAAGACTCATTTGATGAAAATCAGTGCAAGTATTGATAGCTTCATTCTATATGTTTCAATATTTTGACCATATCTCTTTCTAAAAAACTCCAAATGAGGTGATTCTTTGACCAATCAAATTATAAGAAGAAGGGAAACAATTTTTATGTTCACCAATTGGCCCAGTTATGATTGGATCATGGTCAAAATTTGTCAATTCGGACCACTGCAGCAGGATGTAAAGACTGAACATGATGCAGTATTTGGAGCAAATCTTTCAATCCAGAAGTCCAATTGATGTAATTTTAATCCATTGGAAAGTTAAGAGACAGGGATAAAACTTTTATGTTTACTACTTTGCCCAGTTCTTAACATATCAGGGTGAAACTCATGTTTGAAGTTGATAGACTGCCACAGTACTGGAGAAAAAGGCTGCAGCGTTGATGAAAGGAAGCACACATACAAAATTCCAGAGAGCTCAGCGCTGCAGTGCTGGAGAAGTAGCGCCGCAGCGCTACGGACTTCCCTAAAAAAGTAAAGGACATTAACGGAATTTCGCAAAATTAAGTTATTTGGAGCCTATTTAAGGAGACTTTTTCAGAGATTTTTAAGCCAGCAAGAGAGGCAGCAAGAGAGGCAGCAAAGGAGGCAGCAAGAAACTATTCTGGAGATTGGAGCCAAGAACAAAGCAAGGAAACAAGAGAATTGGAGAGAGAATCAAGATCATACATCTCTAACTATTATTTCTCTCTTACCTTTGTTTTTTTTTTCTTATTTTCTTTGACTTGGATTCATGGCTAAATTTCTTTGGATATTGTCTTTCTTAGATATTATGAACTAATTTATTTTTCTAGGATTGCAATTGAACTCACATGTAATCTAGATTTTTAATCACTTTCTTGCTTATTTTCAATGGGATTTGAATTGTTTATTCCAATTTGTTTAAAATGCTTTTAATTGCATGGCCACCAATTAAATTGATCTAGAAACCTAAACAAACTTGGGAAAGGGAGTTTAGTGTAGACTAAAATTGGGATAGCATATGATCATATAATTGATTTGCGTATAGGATAAGGATATACCTATAGGCCATATGTAGCCAAATTAGAGCCTGAACTTAATGAGTTTGTTTTAATTTCAATTCACATAGGGATATAGTGTTTGGTTAAAATAGATATTTTTATAAGATGAGTTGGGAGACCCTATAAAATAATTTAGGACTCTAGGTTAGCAATTCAAACCATTGAGATAAGTTAAGGAAGAGAGGTAAGATTTAGATGAAGTGTGAGGGATATTGTAATCCTAGGCTTGTTTGATTTGATATTTATTTGAGTATTTATTATTTTGATTTTCTTAATTTAATTCTGCTATAACTTAGTTTGATTTGATATTATTTTGATATTGTTTGGATAAGATTAATTTGCAATAATTTTAGTACTTAGTAAACTTTTAGATCAATTCCCTGCGGGATCGATACTCTACTTGCTAATATACTATCTATTCGATACGTATACTTGCGTGGTAGAATTTTAACTGACAAGTTTTTGGCGCCGTTGCCGGGGAATTATTTCTAGAATTTTTACTGATACTAATACCAAGCAAATTAGTCTTAATTCAAATTTTTTTATTTATTTTTAGGTACTTTTGGTTGAGGTGATGAATTATAGTGACTATCGGTGGACATCTGAACAATTTGTGCCTAGAAGAGTTGCTAGTGATATGAATTGGCTATCAGTGCTTTGGCCATCGAAGTTGATGCTTTATCTCAAAAAATTGATACTTGGGGTATTAATGTTTTCAAAGTCCTTTTGTGGCATGCGAGCTTTGTGGAGATAGGCATTCAAGTGATTGTTGTCAACCTATTCTGAATCAATGCAATTTGATGGAAGCTTCAATGGGCAGCAAAACAATTCTTACTCCAACAGTTACAACTCATGGTGGGATCACCCAAATTTTTCATGGAGTAATGATCAATATCCTACATATTCATCACAACCTATTTTTCAGCATGATTTCCAATCACAAGTTAGAGCCCCTATACTTGAGAAGAAGCTAACTTTGGAGGATATGCTGATACAGTTCATGACAAAGAATGATGCCATCATTCAAAGTCGAGCAGAATCAATCCAAAATCTTGAGACTCAATTAGGCCAACTTGTTAATTACATCAACAATAGGCCTCAAGAAATTTTACCAAATGACACTGAGCCTAATCCTAGAAAAGAAGAATATGGTAAGCATCTTGATGAGATAAATGGCAAGAATGTGGTAGATGATGAAGATAAAGTAGATCAAGGTAACACTTCCACCAATCAAGTTCGAGATGAAAAAATTAAGCAAGAGGAGGAAGTATTTACACCACCACAAGTCAAGCCATATGTGCTTCCTATTCCTTTCCTAGATACAGCTGCTAAGTTACCGAAAGTGGCTATTGATATGGAAAATCCAAAGAAACTCCTTGAGGCTTGTTTGGTTCAAGTGGCAACAACGAAGGATCAGAATGAAGAACTCACAAATGTTACACATGTTTTGAAGGCTACACCAAAAGTGCATTATCCAAGAAGAACACAATTTGAGAAGTTAGGTAAAGGTCAGCCTATTCCACCATCTTGGGTTGAGCAAGCACCAAATCTTGAGTTAAAGCCACTACAACCTCATCTTAAGAGGAGACTACTTTCACACCTCAAGCTTTTTCCATGCAAACTCCAACCTTCTTAAAGGGTGAATGAAGACCTCAACCAAAGTCAAGCTAGTGACTATAAACGAGCGCTTCTTGGGAGGCAACCCAAGATATTTTTTTTCTAAGTTTAGTTGTTATTTTAGTTAGTTCTTGTTTTTCTATTTAAATAAGTAGTTTTAATCTCTCCCTAGCTTGTTTTGCTGTGTATGCAGATTTGGAAAGCATGAAGATGAGGAGAAAGAAGATTAGAGCTTTCAAGGAACTACCACCATTGATAGGGAAGTTTCTTTTTCTTATTCTTTTTAACTTTTCACATTGAGGACAATGTGCAATTTAAGTTTGGGGAAGTTTATTGTTATTAGTTTTTGTGATAGTTTATGTTAATTTATTTTCGTTATTTTTTCAACTAGATTTACTTGTGCCAGCTTCATTTAATTTACCTATCCAATGATGAGAAATCAGTTATATTCCTATCTTGATTCTTCAAAACACGTGAATATTGTTTGAGTGTTATGTAAATTCTCATGCTAAGCTTTCCCTTAGGTTGAAATTTCTACATTTTGAGCACTATGTCTTTTCCTTAGATTTATTGTATATTTAGAAAAGGTTTATGTGAATGCAAAATTTTGAATTATGTATTATGTTCTAGAATTTGTTTGATTCTCTCTCGAGGCGAAATCCTAGGCTATACTTAGTTAAGGAGATGATTTAGGCCATTTTTGGACCGATTGAGCCTTTTGTAGCCTTCCTTTACATAAATTATCCTCAGTTTCCCCCTTTGAGCCTAATGACATCTTTTCTTTGTTTGAACACTTAATTTTTAGCCTAGACCCTTATAATAATATTTGCAACAATTCTTGCATCCCTCATTCCTAAGTGCATAAGTCAATTTAGAATGTGTTATGAGCCACATAGTGAAAGAGGTAGTCAAAAAAAAAAAAAAAGATGAAAGTTCAAAAATATGATTTACTCATTTCATTGCCCAATAAAAGAAATAAGTTTGGGGGTATGAATTGAAAAAAGAAAAGGGAAAGAAAGAATGAAGTGTTGAACAAAAGAAAAACTTTGATGGAGAAGGGGTATAGTAAGTGAAGGAAAATAAAGCTCTGAATGGCATCCAGATTGACTATGTGCTTAGGGTGATTTGAGCTATACATTATCCCATATCCAACCTTAACCCTAGCCATACATTACAAGCTAATTAAAGTCCTATTGATCTTTAATATAGTGTTAGCCTACATTAGTGGAGAGAGGGATGAAAAGCAAACTTATGGAGTTAATTATTAATTTGAATTTTGCATGAATATAAATTTATCCAGATTGTACAATATTCTAAGTGAAGAGATGGACACACACACACGGAATTTAACTTAATGATGAGTTTGCATTTGAATTGAGACATGAACTTGAATAATATTTATGTGTTGCCTAGAGTTATGAATATGGATTAACTATTGAGGATATTAAAAGTAATTAATGAAATGGTGCAATTGAAGTCTAATTAAATGTTTTCATGTTTACGTTATTGCATGTTGTTTTATGTTTTGCTCGAGGACTAGCAAAATCTTAAGTTTGGGGGTGTGATAACTCTATTATATAGAGTTATTTTGACTCATTTTGGGAGCTTAAGTAGCTAGATCTTTGAGATTTTATGTTCGAATTTTAGCATTATAGGTGTTTTTTTTAGTTTAAGTTTGATTATTTGTTAAGTGATTAATTTAAGTTATTTTAGTTAAATTTTAAGTTATTTTATTTTAAATTACTTTAAGAGTAGTTATTGCTAATTTCTCCTATGGCTTTTGTAGGAAATTGATGAAAAAGACTCATTTGATGAAAATCAGTGCAAGTATGGTGATAGCTTCATTCGTATATGTTTCAATATTTTGACCATATCTCTTTCTAAAAAACTCCAAATGAGGTGATTCTTTGACCAATCAAATTATAAGAAGAAGGGAAACAATTTTTATGTTCACCAATTGGCCCAGTTATGATTGGATCATGGTCAAAACATTTGTCAATTCGGACCACTGCAGCAGGATGTAAAGACTGAACATGATGCAGTATTTGGAGCAAATCTTTCAATCCAGAAGTCCAATTGATGTGATTTTTAATCCATTGGAAAGTTAGAGAGGATAAAACTTTTATGTTTACTACTTTGCCCAGTTCTTAACATATCAGGGTGAAACTCATGTTTGAAGTTGATAGACTGCCACAGTGCTGGAGAACAAGGCTGCAGCGTTGATGAAAGGAAGCACACATACAAAATTCCAGAGAGCTCAGCGCTGCAGCGCTGGAGAAGTAGCGCCGCAGCGCTGCGCGACTTCCCTAAAAAAAAAAGGACATTAACGGAATTTCATAAAATTAAGTTATTTGGAGCCTATTTAAGGAGACTTTTTCAGAGATTTTTGAGGCAGCAAGAGAGGCAGCAAAGGAGGCAGCAAGAAACTATTCTGGAGATTTGGAGCCAAGAACAAAGCAAGGAAACAAGAGAATTGGAGAGAGAATCAGATCATACATCTCTAACTATTAGTTTTCTCTCTACCTTTGTGTTTTTTTTCTTATTTTCTTTGACTTGGATTCATGGCTAAATTTCTTTGGATATTGTCTTTATTAGATATTATGAACTAATTTATTTTTCTAGGATTGCAATTGAACTCACATGTAATCTAGATTTTTAATCACTTTCTTGCTTATTTTCAATGGGATTTGAATTGTTTATTCCAATTTGTTCTTAATGCTTTTAATTGCATGGCCACCAATTAAATTGATCTAGAAACCTAAACAAACTTGGGAAAGGGAGTTTAGTGTAGACTAAAATTGGGATAGCATATGATCATATTAATGATTTGCGTATAGGATAGGGATATACCTATAGGCCATATGTAGCCAATTAGAGCCTGAACTTAATGAGTTTGTTTTAATTTCAATTCACATAGGGATATAGTGTTTGGTTAAAATAGATATTTTTATAAGATGAGTTGGGAGACCCTTATAAATAATTTAGGACTCTAGTTAGCAATTCAAACCATTGAGATAAGTTAAGGAAGAGAGGTAAGATTTAGATGAAGTGTGAGGGATATTGTAATCCTAGGCTTGTTTGATTTGATATTTATTGAGTATTTATTATTTTGATTTTTCTTATTTAATTCTGCTATAACTTAGTTTGATTGATATTATTTTGATATTGTTTGGATAAGATTAATTTGTAATAATTTTAGTACTTAGTAAACTTTTAGATCAATTCCTGCGGGATCGATACTCTACTTGCTAATATACTATCTATTCGAATACGTATACTTGCGTGGTAGAATTTTAACTGACAAAGATGTCAGGTATGTTTCAACAGTCAAATGATCAATCATTTCTATAATTTACCTAATATTGAAAGTGATGAGTATGGCAAATTCTTGACTAGGAACATTGACTTGGATGGCATTCTTGGAGTGCTTTGCAATGAGGTGGCTGAATGGAAAATAAATAAAGGCATACCTGCATCTTTTAAGGCCAATACCATGAAGACTGAGCATAAACTTTGGTATCATTTTTTGGTTGCAAGATTACTTCCTGTGAAACATGTCAATGATGTGACAAGGGATAGAGCTACTTTATTATATGCAATTGTTTTTGGAATGTCAACCTGATGGGTTTGACTATGGATAGCATGCTCAAAATTTGCAGTAGAAAGAAAATTAAAACTTTATAACTAAACAACCAAAACATGCCTCTAACCATGGATCACCTTGGCAATATTTAACACATAAAAGCACAAAATAAATTATTATTCAGAAAGTTACCTTGCTAAGTAATTTAGTAATCACAATGGCACTTTTCGAAGCTATCCCGCTAACACCACAAGGAGCAAAAACCCTAACCGATCAAGTGCTTGGCCTCTGATGATAGTACACACGATTGCACTTGAACCTTTCACAAAGGAAGCAGTTTTTAACTATATTTTGTGCTAGAAAAGAGGACAACCATTGTCTTTTTCTTTTGTTTCACAATCTTAGCCAAACCTTTCTTGAAATTACTTTATAAGTAATTTTTTCTTTCACATAAAGGGAGTAATGGCAAAAAGAGAAAATGCTTATCTTTTTCAGACAAGAACTAGGTTTTCTTCCATTATGAAAAACTCTCACATGGAAAATAATTAAAAGGTAACTTATATAGTTAGGTTAAAATAACTTCCATTTTGCAATTAAGGCCTCCATAATATAACACATTATAATATTGGCACATTACTTAATTAAACTCTTTTAATTAAGTCCTTGGAAATTAAAATCAAAATTAATTTTCTTTATATTTTACAATCAAGGCCTTATAATAATTACTATTTATAATTATGCCTAAAACTTAATTAAACTCTATTAATTAAGTTTATAAAAGTTAATTAACTAGTATGTAATTTTAGTCTAACTTAAATCATCACTTTCTTAATTTAATTCAAATGCAATCATTGTGTGTGACTCGTTAGGTTCCTAACATGTTGGCAATGAAACTGATTAATGACTTAATTGATTAATTTAAATTTCAATCAATTAATTTATAACCAATTTCGTAGACCAAGATTGGCATCTAGCAATGCATCATGGCCACCCAATTGTTAAAAGAGTCAAAGGGTTCTTTGATAACCTTTTAGTGTACAGTCTATTTGTATAATTCATTCCCTCATCATATATTCTAGAGATGATAAGAGCTTGGTACAGTGTCTGCTCTTATTGACTTCTATATTCATTCTTGTAGTTATAACATTAGCTTTATGGAGAGTGATAAAACCTTTTTTCATAATCTCTATGTTGCATCGGCCAAGGCCTTCAATAAGCTAATGTTAACTAAGAACTAATAGGATATGTCCTCTAAAACACTTGAGGTGATGATTCTTATCTTGACCATTCATTTACCTTCACACATTTCATACTATACCCAAAAGCATCCTATTTTCGCATCTTTGGTTAGGCACCTATAGGGATGAAATCAAAGCATAGCAGTCCACACATAAGACAACTTGGTGTCTTAAGTTTAAGGAGTATTTACACAATTGACATATAAGAAGTGTTGCATAGACACTAGAGCGTATTACCAAATGCACTTCCCATGGCAGGTCATGTTCAGTGAACTTGCTCTCCTAGGCAAGCACCTATATTCTAATTCTAAGTATCTCTATGCTTTTATCTGTGAGATCGATTGCTTACTTCCAAAGTAAAAAACATAGAATATACCAGTCTTTAAGCATCATTGATGTCTAGTCTCAATGATACATTGACCAAGAACATTTCGAGATTATGCTTCAATGCTTAGGGATCTCATAACTGCAACCCATTATAGTTCCCTTGCAAGGCATATTAAT